TTGCAGTAATGGGCTTGTCTTCCTGAAAAACCCATAGAAAATGGATAATAATTTTTGGAATGAACATAAACAATAAATTTGTACATCAGCTAATATAATAAGTCTTTAAAATCAAATCTTACCAATTAAAAACATTGTGTACTCATATTCTAAAATAGGTAAAACTCCACTTTCCCCAAGGTCCATCTAGCTTGTTTCCCATTCAATTCCTATTCAATTTCTAGCTTTACTTAATCCTATTAGCCTTAATGTGATAAATTAGGATTACTTTTTGTTTGTGTTATCCCCAACCCCACCTTGAGTTTCTAGGACGTGGGAATTCAACTCCTGATGAATTAAGTTGAAATTGAATTCCCAACCAAAGAATTCAAGGCAGGGATGAGAGTGGCTTAAACACAGGAAAAAAATGCATGCTGCAATTATATCCATTAAGGCGAATGTAAAAATTGAATAGTAATTTCCTCTCGAGAATAAGTAATTAACTAGTTAATGCCTATAATTGACTACTAATTATCTAGGAGTTTACAAGTAAATTACCAGGAATTTAATAGCAAATGAACCAACAAGCTGTAAAAATGATGTGTACAAAAATTAGCTAAAGAGCTACTGCAAAGTCATTACTAGGCCTTATTCTCTCCATCTGTCTATCTTCTCTAATTATTAACTTTCAGATCCTTGAGAGAGAGATTTGGTTATAGCATGAAAGGAGAAAACATAAACATAAAAATGATTTGTTACCCCATTTTTCTCAGAATGGAGTTGTCCAACAGACAGACAAAAGAAATCAGCATCCGCACGCATGGGCCAACCCAACCGGAAACAACCAACTGACCTACAATTAATCAAAAGCAAAAAGGTGATCAGTAGAAATATCTAAAATGAAGAGGAAATAAAACAAAAAGAAAGGTCCTATACCAGAAGTATTCGTTTAAATCATCATAGTTTCTCCACTGGGAATGTTTTGACTTCCCTTTTTGGCTCCTTTGAGCTTCCTGTCAAGCAGCTCATTCATGCAGTAAGTACGGATTTAAATGAAAGACTTTCTCATAAAAAGAAATATTATTCAAAAGGGTAAATTTCTTCCTATAAAATTAGGGAAAAAAAGAAAGAAAGGAAAATTGACATAAAAGATTTAACAATTAAAGCTTCTTAGAGTTCTAAAGTTTAAAGAAATGGCATGGTGTACCCTTGCAATCACTTCATAGATTGGAGTAACAACTTTCCTCAAGAAAGCCTCTTCTTCACCTCCATAAGCTGGCTTCACATTCTCTCCTGTCATAGGACTAACATTTCCAGCCAGCATACCATATAGTTCAAATGCCATCTGTAGTTAAACAAAGAAAACAAACCATTCAAACCTAAGTAAAGCAGAATATGCCCTTGAAGCAGTTGTTGGAAGCAGAATATGCCATTTGTTATTTGCTATCACTACACCTTAGGGAAGGTGGGTATGCCCCCCTAAGCTGGATATTTTTATCTAATGTAACATGGTCTTGGGAAGATTAAGGGGCATAAGTTATTGTAAGGGAGCCTATGTTTGCCAGTTTTCAGGCAATCTGCCTGGTTTTAAGCTGTTTCAACTATCTTATGTGGTTGGGATATGATTGTTTTCTTTGCTCTTTCTTGAGCAAAGGCCCACTGTTTCTTTCAGGGAATGTTGTTATTTGCTTTCCAAATGGATTCAGTTTCCATTTTGTCAATGTATTTTGACTTTCTTTTATAGTTTATTTTAATTGAATACCATCTTATTATCTTCTGTCATAGTTTGCTCCCACTTTAATTGCATGCATTTCTTCTTCTATAATTTTTTTTAAAAAAGAAAAATTTCGGCTTGGAAGAGCACCTAAAAGATCAAATACATATCTTTGGTGCCTAGTGAAGTTGCTCTTTCTTCCATTAAAAAAATGTAAAAAGAAAAAAAAAATCCATCTATAGAATTATTTTTAAATATCAGAAATACACAAATGGTGGAGGCAAGATAAATTTTCTCAAGGTTGAAGGCGGGATTAATTTTCAATTCTTATAGCTCAACACTCCCAATTCTATGAGACAAAATATTCACCAAAATATACCAAAAGTAACAATATTAAAAGTATAGAAATCAATCATTAAAAATAGGATATGGTTTAAAAAGCATGTTCAGAGAATCCTGATAACACAATAGTTAAACTCCATAGAAGAAGGGTCAGAGAATAAGAAGATTAGACAATCTAAATACATACATGATGATAAATATAACAAAGGCATTCTGGCATAAATCTCAAGTTTGCAGCTTCCCCCCATATCAGAAGATAGAGACCCATGTACAGTAATTTACGCTGTTGAACTTCCTGCTGTATTGTTGGTAACCTGCAGATTATTAATTTCAAGAAAGTTAACAGCGCACTTGAAAAAGAAAAAAGCATAAGACATTAAATAACCTTCTTTTTCCAAACCAAAAAAACATGAGATATGCTTTATCAGGCACACAACACATTATATTCACCAAAACTAAATTCTTTCTTGCATTATTTTCTGCATAGCATTTTTTCTTACTAAAATTGCTAAAATAATAACATTAAATAAAAACCAACTACACGATGTGCATAGAATCCATGGAGCTAACGTTATACTGACTCCAGCAAAGGCAACAGTGAGTCTTACCAGAGACTGCTTTTCCGACCCAAGTACTTGCACCATTTTTTGTAGTTCTTAAAGAGTTTCTTCATCACTTCTGTCAATGCACGATCATCCAACTAAACAGGAACAGATACAAGTTAGTCACAAGCCAATGATTCACATCCGACCTCTTAAACTCTTCTATTGCAGAACTAAACTAAGCAATGGAATACATATTACAAATTTTCAAATAAATTTTTTTGGGTATTTTCTTATTTGGAAATCTACTACACCAAATGCACACAAAAAATTCAAAATAAATATGAGTAATTGATTTGTAGCCCCAAGGAATTCATGAACAAGATGTGGAAGCCTTATTGTTTTCTCATGATAACTTCAAGTTTAGCAAGCCTAGCTAAACTTGTTCATGAAATTCCTTGGGGCTACAAATCAGTTAATCAAAGTTCAACTTTGATATTCTTTCTATTCATTTTTCAAAAATCGAGATCTAGTATTCACCAAATTGGATAGAATGATACAAACAACAATAACTTAAAGTAGACATATTTCAGTACTAGGG